TCTTCTTTATTTTTAAAACTATAGAAATGGCAGGATTCTATCATACATCCGATTTATGCTGTCAAGTAGGTGAAACATACTTGACAGCAAACTTGAAACACATATTGAACCCATCAAAAGGAACAGAAAAGTAAAGGTATAGCATATAAAAGTGACTTTTTTTTTTTTTTTACAGATTTGCCTCATGCTCGTTTCCCCTCAAGCCTTCATCCATGACAGTTGAACTGCTTTTGTTATTCTAAGTAAAATGTAAGACAGCTTCTCCACTATTACTTGGTCAAAACAGTGTTAGTGTTATCCTTTCAGTGTAAACTGTCAACCTGTAATTCCATTTCTGCACTCAGTGGGGAAAACAATTCATGAGTTTCCTGAAAGGATTTACTCTACTATCACTATACTATATTACAGTAGTAGCCATTCAAAATGTCCCCACTTTCGTTGAATGGCCTTTGGCTGATCCTTGGCTAGTCCCCAATTCCTTTTTAGACATCTAAAATATTCTCTCTGTCATGATTTGTGGACATTAATATCTAAAGAGAAGCTTATCTCCTGGTTTGACCCTGTAATTCATTGAAAGATTGGAGTCAGAGTAAAACAATATATGCGCCCATGAGAAGGCCAGTGGCTGGAAGTTGGAGGGGATTTTGCTATCATTCGGCTGGCTTTTGACTGGCAAGGGCCATTTTGAAAGGCTGCTTTATATCATCTAGAAAAGAATAGGAGGTAAAAGTGTGTTTTTACAATGTTTTTTATTTGTTTTTTCTGTTCCTCACAATCTTTGAAAAGTGAGCAGAAATGACTGTTTTTGCTGGAATTGCCTTTAAGATCATCAAGAAATGTAGACCTCCTGATTACAATTTGGTCATTTTTGATGCCTAACACCCAGAGAAATGTCTCTCTTCCCTCCACGGCAAAAGAATGACTTATAGTATTAATTACATTGATCCATGCCAGCTTAATGAACCAATAATGTGAGCTTGCCATTGCCAAGAAAAGGCACTGTGACATAATTAATGACTTACCGCTCACTATGTCAGCACAACCCTTATCAGTTCATTATGAGCCATCACTCAGAGCATTATGAATCCCTATTAGACAAACTCTTTTCATTGCACACGTTGTGCATATGACTTTAAAACATGCATTAAAACCACCTCTTAATACACTGGCACAGTGACTAAGTGTGCTGTTATATATTTACTGGTGTACTGGTTTACCAATGAATATAAATTGACAAAAAATACAGGAATATCATAGATAAAGTTTAAAAAAGCCACAGGCTGCGGGTTAGTTTAATTAAAGTATACACATTTGTGAAAACCTGTTTATGTACCTGTATCTGTATTATAATTGAGTTGCTTTAAAAAGTTAAAGGTTGTAGGTACTTAAATAGCTAATTAAAGTTTTCAGTGCATATGTTCTGTTTCAGATTTCTTACTTTCTTATTACTAAAGGTCAAAGTAAATTATAGATAACACTTTATTCTCCCTGCATCATTTTTGAATCCAATGTATTTATTGAAACATCCTTTGCAAACAATACTGTGACATTACAGTCCTTTTTTTCCCCTTAATGTGCTTCAGAAAAAAAGAATCTGGGCTCAAAGTAAACCACAAATATTTACTGAGACAAAGATTGGCAACCTTTATAAACCATATATTACTGTTGTATTTCTGACCCAAATGCTAATGATAGCTATTTAGTCTAATCTGGTTAATGATACAGAAGAAGATGTGAATGGGCATGACAAACCTGGGTATTTCTATATTGCTTTAAGAGCGTAATGGGATTAACATGGCGTACCTAAACCCACATAGAGATAAGCTCATTCAGGGCCTATTAAAAATACATTGCAGGGAACAATGACGCTTTAGAAGGAGCTGTAAAATGACAGTTGATTTGAAAGGAAATGTATCCTACTGTGTTTTATAACAAATAAAAGATTTATCCATAAAATGTGTATCTATGAATATTTTTCTATATGGCTCCTTTCATTTTTTTTTATTATGTCCTTTCTTAAGTGTACTATTGGGTGCAGTTTGTAGGAATGTGGGATAGAGGATTTTTAGTATGATTCTGAAGGATATGTTTGCAATTTTGCTCCTTCTAATCTCTGATGGCAAGTTGTCTAATTCCATCGACATTAAATGGTAGATCACAGAAAGAGGTCCAGACCATGATAACCTGCTAGAGCCAGGTTTGCAGCAGACACCCTGGTGACAAAAACCATCCATCCATCCGTCCGTCCGTCCATCCATCCTTCCATCCATCCATTCATACATACTTAAATACATTTTATTCCCCCAGTGTTTTATTGTCATTACACTGTCACAAGTACAGAGCAATGTAATGAACTCTCCCGGTCAGCAGTGTGGGGTTAAGGGTCTGTGGGCTTGAACTCAGAACCTCTGGATTCCAAGCGCAATGCCCCAACCACTAGACCGTCACTCACCATATAGTTTATTTAATTTTTTTAAGGCTGCCAACCACTGTGCAGCACTAGAGGAGCAGTCTGGGGTTAAGGGTCTGGCTCAAGGAGCCTCAGTGACAACCTGTGGGGCTCAAACTCAGAACCTCAGGATTCCAAGCTCTATGCACTAACCACCTCCCCATACATATATAAATACACACATACATATATGCATACATACACATATCCATACACCCATACATGCATGCATACATCAAAAAATGCCATATATCAGAAACATGTATACTCCATGTTAAGAGTATACACCCTTAATATAAAAAGAAGTACTTCAAAAACAGACCAGCTACATTTATATGCGTACAATTTATCTGATCCAATCTACATCTTGGTTGATCAGAGGTTCAAAATCTCTGTTTACATGGAAACTAAATGAAATGATCCAATCATGGCGTCTGTACACATGTATCAAGATTCGGATCAGATTGAATCATTTGAGCATAGTTTTCCAGAAACGCTTCAGTAGTAGGGGAAGAAACTGCCTGTTTTGTAAACAACTTTAGCTATTCTGTGTGCCCCTTACATTTATTTTTCTTTATTTCTTCAGTCATGTATCTTAATGTAGTGCCATACTTTTGTTTTAAGTGGTCATTTTAGTAGCCCTCTACAGGGGTAGAGGGCAAGATAGCATGTTCATCCTCCGCAAAACCAGGAGCCAGTGAATGAAGGTCAGTAAAGAGAAAACCATCATGCCGATGTTGTACACATGTGCAGAGGAGATTATTTTACTCCAAAGAACCAAGTAGACATGTATATGGAATCCAATGGGAATGGGAATGTGTGAAAAAAATGTCGAAAAAAACATTTCTCTCAATCAAAATTAAGAAAAATTTCAGATCGGACCAAATCTGAATATGATCTTTAGTCTGAGATGTTTACATGAGACATATTTGATCTGATGAGGCCTTCAACACACTTATTTGTGTCCATGTAAACGTAGCTTCTGACAAGCTGGAGGAATTTCAAGAGAAGGCTAACTGGTCTACACACATATAAAAAAATGGGTCTATTATAGGCAGCTTGATGATTGGTCATTTACATGTCCAGCCTCTACCAAAAAAATTATCTTTCTTTTCCAGGTATACATGTTTGTCCCTGAGATATTTCTGCCAAACCCAGAAAAAGTACTTCAAAAAACTTTTGAATTGCTAAGGGAAGCAAGTTGGGTTTCTTTTATTCAACACCACATTCCTGGCACAAACTTCTCAATGCCAAGACTGCAAGTAAAAGGCTGTTTCTGACTGTCAGAAACATCCAATCTGAAATCACATACCTAAACAAAGGTTTGCAGATTCAAGGTTTCAGTTATTTGTTAATCATTGAAAAGGTTCTTAAAAGAGCTCAACCACACTTTAGAAGCTATTCTTTTGTTGCCAGTATGCAGAGAAAGTGCCAATTAGTTTTCAGCTTTTATTCAGGTATAAGAAAAAGACTTAAATCACTAAAACTGGATTTTGACAGCACTTTATTACTCACAGAATGACTTAAGTTCTGAGTTTCAGTCAGCCCTAATGCCCCTTCAATATAAAATTAAAGAATCAGGCTGTTACTGTGAGCAGAGAAAACAAAACACTGTTGATTTTCTCTGAATAATAATTCAGATACAAAATCTCTGAAGACAAATTTATATTGAAGTCCATACTGTATCATGAACGAATGCAAACATTTCAACTTTGAGATCAAACTCCTTATATTTGCCACAAGAAGTGTGTAGGGCTGTATCAGAATTCACGATTTAATTATTTCATCCAGAAAAAAGACACACTTGTGAGGACTTTACATCATACCCTTCTGATGTAAAACTGCTCATCTATGTGGACGTATAAATTAGGAGCCCCCTGTTGGTTGACATCATACAATGACCTTGAAATGCTTTTCCTTTGCAACATAGGAGCTGTTTGTATGAGAGGCTAGTGGCATTGGGCGTCATATGGGGATCAGTCCTTCAGCATATTGTTTCTTGGTAAATAATGATAATTACTTTTTCCATGGAATCAGGATTTAGACATTCTAAAATAGAATGTCGGAAATCTATTGAAATCTCAATCCTATTTAATCCCTTTTCTTTTAAATAACTAACAGCTATGAAGAGCACAAGAAAACGACAAATACAAATTGTTACAAAAATAAAACCTGTGTGTAAAATCATTACAAAACAAACAAGAAAATAATTTTAACACAACAGGAAAAGCAGGAATATGAACAACCAGAATTAATTGAAATACATCTAATGATATACACAGCTGAAATAGGTCTGCTTTTGAAAGTTAATGTTAGCACCATAATTGTTTTTACACATATCTTCTCGGTCTATCTTTAGTCATTATGACTAATTTTCTATTTCTTGATTGATCTAAGATGCTTATGTATAATTTAGCAAAAAAAAAAAACAATGGGAATAAAAACATGTAGGCGGTAAAACTCATTTACTAAGATAAAATAAATAACATTGAAAAAATATAGCTATCTGCTACAGTAAATACTGGATGTGAATTATGCTTGGTTTTTTTACCAGTGTTGTTGCGGTAGGGGCCTGTGTCTGGTCCCTGGCTCTGACTCAGGCTCCTCATAGGGCCCTTGTTGTGGTATAAACGTTCCTCATAGATAGGATCTATGTGGTGCTCTGGAGACCCTAAGGGCCGAACGGTTTCTTGACTGTGTTGACTACTGTAGGAGCCACGGGAACCTGTGCAAAAGAAAGAATAACGTTTTTATTAACTCATGATAAAATAAAACATAAAAAATGTATGTGTAAACTTTGTTACAGAAACTGATGTGAAAAGCTAAGGAGTGAGCTTTACTGTCAATGGTTAAGTTTGCGTGATTTACAAGAAAATGTGAGAGTGAGGACTGCGCTAAATCATTAACACACAAAAACAGAAACATGCATCACAACAAAAAGCATAGGGAAAAAGAAACAGAGATTGAGAGAGAAAGAGAGCAAGGGAATGATGTGTATGTTTTTCATTTTTATAATCTTCATAGCACACGTTGCTTTTTTGTCAGCTGGAAAATAATGAGATGCAATGTCCCCTCGCTTGCTGTGTTTGGCAGGAATCCCACAGACACAGGGCAAGGAGAAAATTGACAACGGGCATTTGTTCACAACACTGCAGAATAAATGTAAGACAGTGGGCTGCCTCTGAAAACAAAACAAAGCAAATAAATAAATAAAATTAGAAAACGATTGAAAAGAGGCACACTCAGGGAATACAAAGGCAAGTCAGAAGGGCTGAGCTGACATGGCAGGAGATCAAAATGAGATCACACAAACACACACGTACAAAAAGCTCTGAGTGACAGAGGAAGAAACGGTCCAGTGGAACTAATGTCTTATCATATCATATTAGTTCTCAGAGTTCTGCAAATTGTGTCAAGGATTTTCCAGAGGAGGATGGGATGGTGATTCAGGCCTCCGTGTAGAGAAATTCACACAAGCTGACAAATCTTATCAGAAATCAAAGTATGTGAGGCACTTTATCATCTTAGAAGTTACTGTTACGCTGCTGTTATTATAGCTTTACTGCAGAGGCTACAAAAAAACCACAAAGAAAAAGTAAGGATTTACCTTTTTGAACAGTAGTCATGGTAAAGTGAAAAAAACAAGCCTAAAATATATACAAATACAAGCCTGGCAACATTAGATGCTAAGCCTTTTATGGAGAAACACAGCATATCTCTTAATATCCAAATTATTCTTTCAATGACTTGCTCAGTTTCAGTAATTATTCCGTAAAACCCCATAGGAAACTCAACAACTTCACTGGGCATAGTTACTAACTCACAGAATAAAAGGAATAATAAGAGGGTCAGTATAAGTGTGAAGAGACACGCTAACTTCAAAGACTGAAGAAATAAAAAAAAATTTAAAGAAAGAAAGAAAAAAGTTTGAATAAAGCTGAGATACTGAGAATATTTATGAAGAAGCAGGGATTAGAGTCATAGACACACCCCTCAATACCATGACTCATCGCAGTTCTTTGCCTTCCACACATGCTTTTCATCTTGCTTTATTTCGCTGTTCATTTATTTTGTGCCTCACAAGGGCCCACTTGTATAACTACTGACCTCTTTTTTTGAAAGGAAAGACTATTTCAAAAGATAAATATTCCGTTTCAAAATGTTTCACTCGGTGAAATAACAGAAAGAGATCCTGTGTAAAAACCAAATATTGTCCTTTGAAGCCTTACTATTGTGTGTTTACAGTATGGCTAAAAATTTTTTAACTCGCACAGCATCATTAAAATGAATTGATTATCAGGCAAAAAGTATTCATCAAACGGATTGGCATTTTTTTAAATATCCCCCTATATATCGTTTATTTTGCTTTGTTCCAATGCTGAACAGCTCCAATTCTGAAAGTCTTAAAAAAACTAGAAACATGTGAATAAAAAAATTTGATAAAAACAGAACTTATACTGCATTACAATTTAAGACTGATTAAATATAACAGCCAATGTACCCTTAGCTGCATTCTACACATAGCTGTGTAATTCCAGAAAATTGGAGCAAAATACCTGCTGTAAATATATATATATATATATATATATATATATATATATATATATATATATATATATTAGTGAAAAGTTTCCAATATAAAAAATACTATCATAGCTTGATGATGTCAAGATACAATTATGTGGTCCATGGCACATATAATTCCGTGAGACACTTTACTGCATTTGCTGGCGAGTAATGAATCTCTCACACGGCTTACCAGCTGTGTGCTGTGTGTGCGTTGAACCACAACAGTGACATATTTAACGATTTACACAGCAACCTGTGTAGCAGAATGTTAAGTGAAATGCATTTTATATGGCATATCAGACAACATAAACATAGCTGAATTCCTGCTTCAATCCAAAGACATGTTTAGATCTACGACTGCTAATAAAGAAGATTGGAAAATAGGCATGACAAACTGTTTGCTCTAAAAACAGTTATAACACATTTTGAATGAAAAAGTGGAGCAAGTTGGAGGAAGGGCTCAAAGACAAAACACCTTTTTAAAAATGTATTTTAATAGGTTGTTTTTTTTTTTTTACTTAATTTAATATAGTTGTTTTCAAGTCTCTGGCTCGCTTTCAAAAGGTGGCAGTTACAGTGTGTTTTGCTGACTACTGAAGATGTGAAAGTTTAAATTGCTCAAATAATAAATAAAATGATATAATAAGGCACACCTGCAGTAATAGGAAAGAAAATTCTCAGTGCATTCTAGAGTTTTAACCCAGAAACCATCAGGTAATTACCAGGCTCTACAGTTTTAAATGTTATCTATATTAGATTATTAAAACATGTCAAAAGCGTGAAATTATTGTTCTTTCACAAAATCAGACTTAAATCAGAGGCACCCTGACTTTGACTCAGTTATCTCAAAAACTTTCCACACCAATCCACGGATCTTTTGACGGCTCGCAGACAAAGAGAATTATAGTAATTTTACACACACAGAAACTTAGATCTGTTCGACATTTAACTTAATGCATAGACAAAATTAAATCTCTTGTTAAATTTTAATTAGTTGATGCTTTATTTTCCTTTACTCTTTAAGTTAGGACAAAACTTAAATTGTTTTTGAACTCAAAAGTCTGCACTTCACAACCCTCCATTGGTTCATGTATTAGTTCAAATACCTAAAAAAAATATAAATAATAGTTAAAGTCATAGAGCTAAACTATGTAAAAGTGAGCAATTTTAAAGTGAGGCATCAACTAGAACCTCAAAGGTCAGAACAAACATAAAACTATGGTTTCCAAAATTCAGAAGGAAATTAATAGAACATTGACAACATCTTTACCGTTACTTAACAATACATTTTAAAAGGTAAGAAAAAAATAAAACTAGCCCTCATTCGAGAGAACATTTCAACTATTTCAACAGGTGAAGATGTTAACAACAAATCTATTTTTTTATGTAATGTGTATCATGACTTTGTAACACTGTTGCCTTTTAGCAAGAAGGTCCTGGGTATAATCTCCTGCTTGCATGGAGTTTGCATGTTTTCTCTGTGTCGGGATCTGGAGATCTGCCACCTGTCTCCAGCAGAGAGCGTTGTGGGCTTCCTGAGCTGGAGTTCTCAGCACACCTGGGGATCATCAGCTCATCAGAAGACCTCCCTACATAAGCAGCAGTCAGACCTTCCTTCGACGCCGCAGTGTTGACCTAGTTTGGTTAGCGAACCT